CTCTGGTGGCAGTGTGGGAGGAGTTGGAACTTTTGGAAGCATTTGTGTGTAGGCTAATGGGGGAAACTTCCCTCATAGTAGCTATTTTCCTCATGGATTGCTGTCACTTAAGCGAGGTCGAGATTATTGGAACATGTATTTCTGAGTAAGGAGTTACTTTCATTATTGTCTTTAATGTTAAAAGGTGATTTAGTGCCAGCTGGTACCATTGTGTTTGAGGTGGCTCGACCCCACATGGCTGACTGTATGGTTTGAGTCCCAGACCTGGTACCTTGAAAGGCATGCTGGTGCATGTGCATGCATGCCTAAAAGGCTGAAAGAAGAAATGGAGAGTGGATTGTAGTGTGGCCATCCCGTGGAGGTGCTTTCTCACTTTTGTGCTCTCTGATGAGCATATGCACTATTTAGCAAAAAAAAAAAATTTTTTTCTTTTTGCTGTAGGGCACATGCACTCTCCAGAAAGACAGAGACAGAAAGCAAGAAATCACCCTCCTAGGGAGGATGGCTGCTGCAATCCCTTCTCCTCCATTGTCCCCTTGAGATCTTGGGCATGTGTGCAGATGTGCCCGGTGTGAGTTTAAGCCACCAGGTCCGGGACTCGAACCACAGTCGACTACATGGGAGTCCAGAAACATAGCCATTACTCCAACTGCTGGTTCCTTAGCAAAATTTTCTTAAAAGGAATTCTTTTATTTTCATTTATCATCATCATCATTATTATTATTATTATTATTATTACTTTTAATTTCGTGAAAGAGAGAGAGGGAGAGTGAGAAAGGAAGCCGGTAGGTCCAGGACTCAAAACATGGTTGGCCAGATGGGAGTCCAGTGCCTCTACCACTTGACAACCCCTTTAACACAATTTTTAAACAGTGGTTTGTTTGGTGGCCACTCTGTATTTAGATCTTTTTTAAAGATTGGGTTGTGTAGCCACATAGAAAATTAATGATCTGATTTTCATTCTAGAAATGAAGTCCTGAAGTCCTTTAGAACTAAGCTATGTCCAGATTTGTAGGTTAAAAAGCAGAAGTAGGCCTGGGTTGTGGTAATGCCAGTGATAGGATATCACTATGTGAGGCCAGCACCGCATGGGACACGTTTGGTTCCAGACCAACCTGAAACAGGCTGGGGCAGTAGATGGCATAGTGAGACCCTGACAAAAACTAAACAAAATAAAACCCTCTCTCTGTCTCTTTCTCCCATTAAAAGGTGGGGGGAAGGAAAATGAAGAGAAGGTTTGAAGGAAGCATGCACAATGGACATAATTTCAGTAAATTACAGCACAGGGGCTGCCTTCATAGTGCAGAAGTTACACACTGCAAAGGAAACGGAATCTCACTTGGCTGACCAGAGTTCTAATCCTGGTCTCTTAGGCTTGGAAGATATGCCAGGCATATAGGAGCATGCCCAAAGATTCTGACATGGAGAATTAGAGGAAAAAATGATTGCAGTGTGACTAGGTTCTATTGGGCAATGCTTAGTCTTTCTCTTTCTCTCCCATGTACACCCCTTCTGGCATCATCATAATAATAATAAAAATAAACATTGAAAGCATGGAATTTTAACAACAGGCAGTTATATTTTAAGTTAACATTGGCATATGTGTATAAAAATGTAAATATTTTAGGTCAGCATTATATTTAGAGTGTTAAAGAGGTAAATTCACTTTTCACATTTATCTTTCTAGAGAAAAGCATGACAGACTTGCTTTTTTATATTGAGACTTTTTCTCTAGTCAGAATAAATTTAATTCAAAGGAAGGGATGGGACCAGCTGATGACTGAATGGTTACATTGCTGGATTCCCATGTAGTCGACCATGGTTCGAGTCCCAGACACTGTGATTGAAGTCCCAGACCCCCGGCTTTAAACTCATGCTGGGTACGTGTGTGTGCATCCAAAAGCCCAAGAGAATAGAGGAGAAGGGCCATCCCCCTGGGGGGCGGGGGTGATTTCTCACTTTCTGTCTCTCTGGTGAGCATATATATCCTATAACAAAAATCTCTCTTAACAAAACAAAGGTAGGGAGCAATAG